TTTGTTCATAGTAATAGCCAATATATATTGAGTGCTTTCTGTCAAATTGACAGTCTGATAAGAACTGTTCATACATTAACTCACACTCAACAAAAACTGTTAAGAGAGAAAGTTCTATTTTATTCATACTACTATTGAGAAAGTTGAGGCTTTAGAGAAGTGAAGTAAATTGGGAAAATCATACAATGAATGGGGGAGTGGATCAAGGATTCAGAGAAGTTTTGTTCACTACCTGATATACTAAGAAGTGAACAATATGCATCAATATATTAGCAAGTAAGAAATTTGAACCTGAGAGATGAATGCACATGGGTTAAGCAGACCTGGAATAAGACTTAAGAAGAGTGCTAAAGAGGAGATATTTTTAAACTTTCTTCTTGAATAGAGTAGGAAAGATAAATACATTTCATATGGATTTAGAATTCTGTCTGGCTTCCTTTAAACTACTTCAGCCTTGTTAATGTTCCCGCTGAGTAATCAGTTCTTACATATTAGTTTTTAAAATGTGCTGATTTCATTATTTTAGTAGCATTGTAATTATATGGAGAGAAAAAGGCAAAATAGATTATTTTGAGTAGTGATATACTCCCTACTAGTACATGCCAATTTTTTTATAATAGATTTTTTTTCTTTTTTAAATAGCATTTTACTATGATTTGGGTGAAAGTTTACAGGGCAGATGGGTTTTCTATTCAACAATGCATGCACATTTTGTTTTATGGCATGGAGTTCAATCCCCACAATGCAAAAGCACTATTCTCACTTCCTGCCTGTGTTTACCATTTCTATTTGAATTTCTTTCCTATTCCTTCCTGCCTTCTGATCTTTATCCCTGAACAAGTGCTGCCCTCTTGATCTCTTATGGTTCATTGTTCTAAGGAGTGAATACCTTCTTGGTGTAATTGTTTATCATATAGACTTCTCTATGGTTGAGCTGAAAGTCTTTACATGGGGGAGAGATCAGTTCCAGGCTCAAAGGTTATCTGAGGGCCATGGTCATGGGGATTCCACCAATCTCTATCAGACCAGTAAGCTTAATCTTTTTTATTATTTTTAATTTTGTACAACATTTTTCTCCCACTCTATCCAGGATCTCCTATTGTGATCCCTTTGAGAACAATGGATATTGGTAGTGGGGCACCAGGGCGCCATCTAGTTTTTCTGATCTTAGAGTCATCAAGGCTGTAGTTAATGCTGTCCATTGGTCTTTTGGAGTAATTGCTTCCTTGCATCTTTGATTTTTTATCACTCTTCTTTGTGTGGATGAGGCAAAACCAATAATTGTGCCTGAGATGACCTCTCACAAGCTTTTAAGAGCACAGTTGCTACTCACCAAAGTTGAATGCAGAACATTGTATTTGGTAACTATATTATGCCAATTGATCTTGATGCCCCACAATAATTTTTACTATTATATCTAAAAGATATTTAGACTAAAAGTAGTAAAGATAAACTTGACAAGAGAAATTTATTTCCCATGACTCTTTTGTATAGGCTATTTAAAAAGATAACTACTGGATCTCAGTTGATCTCTACTTTTCTTTTTTTAGCTAATTATCTCCTTCCTTCTCTTTTATGGCTCTTTAGCTTGACATCTCCAAGGTCCACAGATAATTTTGACTGTATCTGAAGATTGAGATATTGCTGTCATGGAGGATCAAAAATACTACCTGCATTTAATAAAACACTCTCAATTATCAGTAAAGGTTCTTAGAGATCTCAATGATGGATATAATACAATTATGCTTAATAAGATGCTGTTACCCAAAGCTAAGTCAGATATGGGGCATTCATAATTTTAAATTCCATTCAAAAATCAAAATGATTCTTAAAATTCATTTTCTTTTGTGTAAACTCTGATGTTCTTGATTTTAAAATTAGTAGCAAAAAATCATGTTTGACGCTATTTGTTGCTATTTGGGAAAAATAGTACATTTGAAACCCTAAATATGTTTGTAAATTTTCTAGCCAATTTTTAAAATGACTAGCCATATGTGATAGTTCAGTTAGTATGTTAACTTGGCCTGGTTGAGTGGCTGGGCAGCTGGTGGTAGTTGTTCCCCATGATGAGACTGGCAATCAACTCCATGGTGGGACCTACCACAAACAGCTGAGTAGCTGACTTTGGGCTATGGTCTGCTTCCTGTATATGAGGAGAAGCCTTGGGGAGAGTAGCTAGCTTATGGAATGCTTGGACCCTGCGTGTAGCCCTGTCAGTTCAGCAGCAGCCTGCTATACTCTGCTGACCTTGGGACTTACAATGGACTTGAGTTAATGGCCTGCTGTGTGGTTTGGTAACATCGGGACTGTGCCTTGTTACTTGTCAACCTTGGGCTTGGCAGCCTCAGCAGCCAACAGCTGCCTGAGTGAAGAAAAGCCTCTAGCTTCAGTGGGCCGGGAACAGAAGGCAGAGCTGAAGCCCAAGGCTGAGGGGCTTTCACCCAGCCCCTAGAGCCTGGCACTTTGAACTTGGACTTATAGCCTCCAAACTGTAAGAGAATAAACTCCTGTTTGTTAAGGCCATTTCATTTGTGTTATATTCCTGTCAGAGTGGCACTTGGTAACCAAAACACCATATATTAATATTTCCAAGAGGAAATTTGAGAATAACATTTAGAATATTTTACAGATGTAAATAGTCAGAGGACAGTTACCACTTAGAAGGTGTTGACTTGAGCAAGTTGCTAATTTATTCAAAATTCAATATTCAATTTCTTCACACAAAAACATAAGGATATAATAAAATAAGAATTCATAATAGGATTTTTAAAATATTATTTCTTCTTTTATACATTTTGACCATAAATCCACAAAAATAATATGAACTCAATTATACTAGGTTGTGCTTTTATAAAGACTTTCCAAAATAATAATGGTACTCATGAGCCCAATAATAATTGAATTCATGACTGTTTAATTAGGCTCTGTAGTAATTTTCTTTATTGCATTTGCTCATTATGTTAGCAGAATGAACACCAGGCTTATTTGTATGTGAGCACTTAGTATCCACAAGATGCCTATAGAGATTAAATCAGGTGTACAAATGATTTTTCCTAAACCAAAATTTCCCTTTTCTAGATAATCCCAAAGAGATGACGCGTGTGGCAGTTTTTGTGAGAATTTTGGATGTCAATGACAATGCCCCACAGTTTGCTGTGTTCTATGACACTTTTGTGTGTGAAAATGCCAGACCGGGACAGGTGAGCACTTGTAAGGTCGAAAGTGTGAGAGATTTTAATTTACACATGAAACGTCTTTTCTCCCCAGTCTCAACAGGAATGAATAAACAGAGATAGAAGAATTCATACATGGTCCCAACACTATAATAAAAAAAGTGTGTTATATTTTAGGGAGTTTCAAATATTTAAAATACCAGTATATTAGGTTTGTTTTCATGTTTCCTTTGTAACATCTGAATGCCTGAACTAAGGCTTTATTGTTGTCGTAGTAGCTAAGGTATAAGAAGGCATGCTTTCAACTTTTTTAAACTTTCAAACACAAAAACAAATAAAAATCTGTTGTATCCTTAGTTAAATATTGGTTACTGTTCAAGAGGTGGGAAAATGAAGTTGGGAGAAACAGACAAATTTGTAGAATCAGCAACATGTTTAACAGTAATGCAATGTATACAAACATGATCTCAAAGCCAGATTAACAGAATTGGCACCTTAGATTTATACATTGCATTTCATCATCACAGCAACATATAAAGTCCTTAACGACATAATTATTGTCCTTTAAAACATTTTTTCTACATCAACTTTGTTTATAACTCCTAGTTCTTTTCTTTAGTGGCCTCATTTTTGTTGTTTGAAAAGCTCGAGTGTATATAGCTGAAAGAAATGCTCTTAATTGGTTTGAGTGCTATCTTCACAGAAGGAAGCTGCATGTTATAAATAATAATTGGGAATCAAATGTGTTTTATTAACAGAAGAGAAGACATTGAAAAACTGCATTGTATTTTGACATCATTGATGTTCTTTATAAACATCAATGCCGTTGTTACATTTTTATGCAAATTACATTGTGGAATAACTCAAATTTATCCTTCTAAAGATTCTAACAGGAATTCAATAACCTGTCTATTGTTTGAAATGGTAAAATTACTTCAATTGAATTATTTATTTATTTTTTTGTACTTAAAAATTCTATGGAAATGTGTAATTTGGCTTATTTAAATGACTTAGCTGCTTCCAACTTGCTTCTTAATGAAACAATGCTTGCCCTAAAATACCCTTCCAAATAGCCCTCCACTTGACAGGCTCAGCATGATATAAGTTGAATCTTTTTCCCTAAGAGATAAATTACTGACTTTGCTATTTCAGCATGCATTGTTCCCTCTGCAGTTATTCTATTTGATTTTCAAGAGATATCTTTTCAGAATATTTGACTCATTATAAAAGCTGGTTTTCAAATATATTCAAAATATACAAAATAAGGGATTGCTTGTTTATTTCCCTTATGCTATTATTTTTTAACTATATGCAGCTCAGAACTTCTCTATAATTTTGGAAATTTTGCAAAATAAATGGCATATTGAGGAAAAAAATCAGTTTAAAGATCATTTTAATAAAAATGCAGTGGCCTATTTTGACAAGTTCAGAGGATAGAAACATCACCAATATTTTCTGTATAACTGGCTGTATGCTCAACAACTTCCCACACTAAAAACTCAAAACCAAATTTTCCTACAGGACGGAGGGGAACTGTCCCATAGTGCTTCCAACGCTGTAATCTTTCCTGAAGCAGACTGTTACATCTTTCCCCACTGGTGTTTTCAGACTGCTGACCTATCAATTAGCAGCTAAGTACTTAACCACTGCACCATTAGGACTTCTTCCTAGTTCTCTTTAATAAGACATTTTGTTAGATGTGCCTTTGGCCTGAGAATTTGAAAGATGTCTTTGCTCAAAGTAAACTCTTATATAATCAGTGATGGAATTCTAGGCCATTGACATCCTAGAGGGCAACATAAAAGTGGGTATTTGATAAAGTCCTTCTTCACTGAGCCTTCATTGAAATTCAGTTGTTAACTCTGCCTTCCCTCATCCTAGGGAACTTGGAGCAAGTTAGAAGGACTTCTGGGCGTGCTTTGGTTATTTATAGAGGATTCCATTCCACCCAATAGTCGTCCAAATTAAATCCTCTTTAAGAGCAGCACTTAGAACAACAACACGGAAAAAATTTTCACTCATTTGGTGTGTGGAAAAAAAACAAGAAGACAGAAATAAAACTCATTGGCCAACCCCTCCTGTTCATTCCCTGTTCTTGCCAATTTCCAGTTCTAAGGGTAGAGAACTTTTCCTTTTGGTGCGATTTAATTTGTAAGTGATGTAGTAGTATTTAGAGTCCCATCTTGTACCAGAACAGAGCTGCTTGACTCCCTATCCTTCCCATCTCAGACAGAATCAGGGGACCATTGGGAAGGAGAGAAGAGAAGGGGAGAAGAGGGATGGTGGTTTTTCCTTCTTCCATTGCCCCACACCCCCAGGCAATAAAATATAATTCAATAACTTTCCATCTCCATAGGAAGGCAATAGCATTTCAGACTGTAATCTCACAGGAAATTCCTTGGGGGTACTGTTTATATTAATCCATCTGAGGCCCCTATGTAACTGCCAAATACAAGTATATGGACTTTATTCAGAAAGGTAACAAGGAAAGGTATTATTATAATAGGAAATCAATTTCTGTCCAGTCAGCTCAAACGCAGAGAAACCCATGGGTGTCACTGTAGAACTATGCTCCATAGGGTTTTCAGTGGCTGATATTATTGGGATTAGATTGACAATCTTTTCTTCTGAGGCACCTCTGGATGTCTCAAACCTCCAAACTTTTTGTTAGTGGTCAGCACTCTAAACTGTTGAACCACCTAGAGATGTCTTATGATATCAGCAATGGTCTTGAGAAGTTAGGGAAAAAGGATTTTCTGTGATAGAGTCTAAGGAGCTCTGGTGGTGCAGTTCCTAAAGCATTTGACAATTAGCCAGAAGGTTGGCAGTTCAAATCCACTTGCTGCTCCAATGATGGGACAATCTACTTCCATAAAGATCTAACACCTCAAAAACCCAGAGGGTCTCTATGAATTGGAATTGAATCTATGGCAGTGCTTTTTTTTTTGTTTTGTTTTGTTTTTAATAGAGTGAGTCTAAGAATAAATAAGTCTGGGAAAAACCCAGGTGTAAGGAACTTGAAAGGTTGACATCATCAGACAGTAAATCAGAATGTTTTGCACTGAGGCCACCTAATTTCCAGGTGGAGCCATTAAAGAGAATTAGTATGTGTGATAGCACAATGGGTGAGCACTCAGCTGTTAACTGAAAGGTTAGTGGTTTGAACCCATCAGCTGCTCATTGGGAAAAAAGACCTAGACATCTGCTCTCATAAAGATGTCATCCTAGGAAATCCTGTGGGGCAGTTCTGCTCTGTGCTAGAGAGGGTTTCTATAAGGTTGAGAAGATGTTGGTTCAGGCTCTGGCTTGGGCACATTTCAGGGATGTGAAAGAAGGAGACAAACTTAACCTGTTTGCTTAACAAGCATTTTGTTTCTAATTGACCACTGAGAACAAGCAATTAAATTTCTCATTTATAAGGAAAAGAATGAGTATGAGAATCTGTGTAGCCTTGCCATAGGTAAACCCCAGAGCATAAGTCTTATCAAAGTCACATGGGAAGGGGTTTATCTTTGGTAAGGCCATCTCCTGAACATAGAGGGTGGGAGGGTTTCTGTAACCATTAATGCTTTCCCCTATCACAAAGTTCAGATAAAATTCAACACTATCAAAGCTACAATAATGCTTTCCCCTATCACAAAGTTCAGATAAAATTCAACACTATCAAAACTACAATTACTAATTCCATATTTTCCATAGAATGGCATTTAGCTACTCCCCTAATACAAGAATAACAAAAAGGGGGCTTTTAACCAGAAAGCAGGGATTTTTTTTTTTTTTTTTCATTAAAACAAACTCCAAGGCTTCCCAGTGAAAAATCTAATACATACTGAAACTAAACAAGCTATTTTCTAACTTTAATTTTATTAAAATATATTACCCATTCCACACCACATTATCATATAAGAACCTCATGTTGCCTTAAGCTTATTTTAACCTGTTGTTGTTGTTGTTGCCTTCCAGTAGAATCTGACTCATGGTGACCCAGTAAAAATACAAAACAATTACATAACAGAAAAGCTAAAGAGATAAAATGTAAATGATTCATCTGTGTCTGTTCTTTATATGCTCAAAAAGAATACTGGACATCACCATTATTATTATTATCAATTTTTTTTTTTTTTTTTTTTTGCCCAATTGTGGTATAAATTGTTTTATTAGAAAGGGATCAGAGTAAGTTTGGCTCCAATAGAAGTGAGATAGTTGTCCCTGAGTGGTTCAAACGGTTGCCATACAGAACTGCCAGCAGAAAGGTTGGTAGTCGAAGACCACACAGAAATGCCTTGGAAGAAAGGCCTAGTGGGCTACTGAAAAGTCAGACATTGAACCCTGTGGAGCACAGCTCTACTCAGATAGGCACAGGAGAGCTGTGAGCTGGCATTAACTCAACCGCTGGTGGTGGTAGTATACAGAGACCAAGGGGCCTGTTGAATCTCCTTCTGGTTCCTATTTCTGCTTCCCATTACAACTTTTTTTGTGTGTATTTACCAAAATAAGAGTATCATTATCTTGAATGCAAGGCTGGAGACAAAAAGGAAGACTGAATTGAGAGGTAAGTTCTGTATAGGAAATTGGACTCTAAAAGCTAAGTTGTTTCAGAGAATAAAGCTGTCTTAAAAAGGGGGTAAGTGGCAATAGAGAAGGCTGGTTTATAAAATTTTATTGAAATATGGTTATGGATTCTGCATTATTTGATTCTATTTTGTTCATGTAGTTAATATGAGTTTGGCTTACTTCCTTACATTTAATGAAAGCATATTGCTTAACCTCTGACTTTGAAATCAATAATGCGAAATTCTTTGATTAAAAAGAATTATTTTAATTGAGAATTTTTATTGAAATTTATATCTTGTCTTATAAAGCTATGAAAAGTTATGACCATGTTGTGTTCTGAAATACATTATTCTGGTTCATTAAAATGAATAGGAATTTAAGTTATTAATTTTAGTTGCAAATCCATTTTTATTTTGGACACTGCATTTTGTATAAAAAGACTATTAACTATTTTAACTTTCTATCATTAAATGGGTCTGTGTGAGAGAGTTACATATTAATCTTAATGACATATACACATGAGAATTTTCATTGTGAACTATCTTTCTTGATATGTTATTTCAGTTATGTCTTATTATTTTCTTATAAACCTCACTTCAAATGCTATAAATATAAAATAATAAAACCTCAAAGACTATAATTTGAGCAATGTTGAAGGAAAGAGTAATACCCAGGAGAGGGAGAAAAAGAGGGTTGGAAAGAGTGAAACTGTTTAAATAAAGTACAAAGTAAAACATATAAATTAACTCAAATAAAGATATATGCATAAGGAACTCAATCGTTTTTCCTTCCTTTGTTAGGCAAAATAAGGTTGTTAAAAATTACATAATACAAAGAAGATTATATCCATGGAAGTTTAATTAATGTACATATTTTCTCCTTTTTGCAGCTTATACAGACTATAAGTGCCATAGACAAAGATGACCCTTTAGGTGGACAGAAATTTTTCTTCAGTTTAGCTGCTGTCAATCCAAACTTCACAGTACAGGATAATGAAGGTAAAGTTTAGAACTTGTTTCTTATGGTTCTAAAGTGACATTAGCAGGAAATGTTCTCAAAAGTAATTCCCCTTGGGACTCTATTACACACTTTATATCAGTCGTCACAGATCTTACACCAATCCTTTGAGTAATATACTTTCATATTCATTTTAAGGAGTGGAAACAGAAGTTTAAGACAATTAGGTAGCTTGCTAAATGTTGATCAGCTATTGAGATGAAGTCTTTTTTTTTTTTTTTTTGTCTGCTTTATTGTTGTTGTTATTGTTATGTGCCATCTAGTCGCCCAACTCATAACGACCGGTTCTTGGGTTTCCGAGGCAGTATCACTACAGAAGTAGATTGCCCAACCTTCTTTCCAAGGAATGCATGGTGGGTTTGAACTGCCAGCATTCTGGTTAGTTGTCAAGTGCATTAGGCACTAGGCTACCAGAGCTCCTCTGTCTGCTTTTGAATTTTAAAAATGCAACAATATTTACAATTCACCCAATTATATTTTTCTTCAGGATTATTGGATTTATGTATGTGAGAGGTATTTGTGAGTATGCATACATGTGTGTGTGTGTTTTTTAAAAAATATCTTAATATATTTTTTTGACATCCAAATACTGATATTTGGGGAACCTGGAATATTTTTTTGACATCCAAATACTGATATTTGGGGAACCTGGA